TTATAGTCGAATATGAGGTCATTTTCAGAATTTGATCTAGTTAGCATTTGACCCCCTTTTATCATTTTTATGACAATAAATGTCAGAAAAATTGTGATTCGGTCTACAGAATTTATAGCAAAACACATGCCATTTCTGAAGTATCAAAATGTTTCATTTCAGGGTACTGATTAGACGGAATAGTGTGTGACAAAATTAATGGCAAACTAAATGAAACCGAACTTTACTAATTTTTTGTCTGACAAAATCTTAATTAATGTAAGATGAATTGTTTTAATTTATAGCAAAACACATGCCATTCAAAAACAATATTTGTTTTTAACGCACTAGTGCGAAAATTAATGATAAGTTAATAAGTAGGTGATTTTGATTTTTTTAATTAAAACTACATTGCAAAAGCCATTGTTAATATAGTATGCTCGATTACCTTGGGTGTATCGCGAAGATTTGCGCATGAATTTTGGTGGTAGCATTTCGATTATTTTCGAAGTCATTAAAATCACCTTCTCCGGAATTCTCCATGCGACATCCAAGCGAAATCATATTACTATTTTAATTTCCAAAGCAATCGCTAGACACAGTAATCAATTTTAGCTCATTTTTTCACTTTTCTATTACTCTTCCAATATGGCCGACTTTCCACAAGTTACATGGATTTACATCCAAAGGCAATCATTTTTAAACGGGGATTTCCGTTTCATGATCAATACACAATCGCTTGAAAATGATTATTCTTATTTTGAAGTTGATTATTTGTGGCTGTTTTCAACTGCACAGTGAATCAACTGCATGATTTATAAATAAAGTTTAGAATGAATTCAAAGACAATATTTGTTTCCAACGCACTACTGTGAAAATTAATAACAAAGGAATAAGCAGGCGATTTTGATTTTTTAGTAGAAGTAGAACTGATGAAAGGTTATGTAAATCTTTAGTTTCAACAAAACGTCTTTCGAGTATTGTGAATTTCACGAATACTAATTTGCTAATCAGTCTTGATTTTTTGATTTAAATCATTTCCAAACAGACAGATGCTTGAAAAGTAGTAACACTGGTACTTGTTCTAGTTACTTCATTAGTGGTGGCCAGCTGTTTTGCTGGTACTGGCCTGTCTCGTCGATTGTTGAAGTGCTATAAAATGTAAATTTAAGCAACGTACGAAAGCAACCAGATATTCGCTACACAGTCGCTCTATATGAAGAACTCAATGATTTGTAACAAATCAGGTAGTAAAAATTTTTTTCCATCTAATCAACGTTACAAAATAGTAGTTGGTCTGCTAAAAATTAAAACGACACGTCCCAGCACCTTATTTCTGGATTTTGCACAATATCTTTGAAGTGCTGTTCTACCAGCTAAGCCTAACACAAAGGTACTCATAAATAAAAATTTTCAAGAAAATTTGTAGCTGTTGTCGTTATCTGCCAGTATTTCTAAACTTTACATAGTTGAATTTATTTGCTCTTTGCTTTAATTATATTTCTTTATTTTTACACAACAGTACGAGCAAATATTGTAGCACATCTGAATAGCCTTGACTTGAACAACATTCTACACTAATTTCTAGAATAAACAATAATAAACATGCCCTATTTTTGATTAAATCAGGGAAATGAATAAATCATGTATATATAATGCAAAAATTATTTCGAAGAATCAGACTCATGTCGTATTCACTGTGAAGCGATCATAAAATGATGAATTCATTACTTACCGTTAAAAACAATGATGATTTTTGATGCTAATAAATCATATAAAATGCGTCCAGAGAGTTTCTTTAGAAGCTGCTATCGAGCAATTAACGAACGCTACCATGAAAGTACACCCAATAAAACTACAAAATTTATGAATAAACATAGCAAGACTGATGTAAAAAAACGATAAATGCAAAAACGATTACATTTTCAAATATGCTTTACATTGCATGTCACGACCTCGCAACAACTGACCAAATCTATCAAGGAGAACTGAATAACTCCCAGACAGCTTCTTATCCATGTTTATTGATGTAATAACAGTATGTTTCTGGTGAAGTAATAATTTCATCTGTACTTTACCAGTATGCATTTAAGAACTAAAGGAAATGTACATTTTTATAGCATCCGATATTGCTTGAACTTCGTAGAAAAATTAAATGGTTAATTTTTCTATCTCCACATTTAATTTTTCACTGCCATCAAATCTTAGAAGTCTCATTAGCTATTTTTTGCCGCATATACTTGGAATCTTCAAGTTCAAAATCTGCTAGTCAATCTAATTCCTTCAATGAAATTTATAACGTCAAAACACCTTACAAAAACGTAAGTTAACTCTTCCTACTAATCTCAAGAACGAAAGGCTAAATTTCTCTGTTGTGATAGTAAAATTCATTTAAATTTTATAAACACTGTTAAGAATGAGCATTTCACAGATTTTTGCATGAAATTTGCCAGCATAAACCAAAAATAATTCATGCCTATGGAATATATTTGTAACTGCGAGAGAAAATTATTCTTGGCGAAATCCACGACGACAGTTTAATCTGTTTATCTCTTTTAATTAGGCAAATGTACATAAACTACTTTTAGAAAGTAAAAGTACTTGATAAAGAAAATTACAGGAAGAGTCATTTGAAATGCAATTTTTGCTGCTATCAGTGACGCCAGTAAAAATGAAAGAGTTGTGAGAATTCCTGAAAAAATAACACAGCAAAATCTCTACTTCTGATGTCCATCTAAAATACAGCTATCCATTTCTTTTTAAATGCTGCATTCTTTCCAATACTAGAGTTTTTTATGTTGTACACCAATAGCACATTTCGTTAGCTCTAATTAGTCTTTATGGTAGCCCATTCGCAAGAGAAAGAAAATCCCCAGAACAGTAAAAATGAAGCTATCTCTTATTTTAAAAAGTGTGAAAGACGCATCTGCAAAGTCTAAATGACATAAATAGTAGATAATGTGTCTAAAATTTATAAATCAGATCACAATTTGTTTGAACGACACACTAGTCTGGTTGTAATATAAAATAGTCATTTTTTGTGCTATAATCAAAGATATAGCCTGACTGGGATATTCATTTAGTATTCATCTGTGCATCTTTTGATAATGAATGTGCAGTAGAGCAAAAAAAAATGTGTGTGAATGACATTTTTTGCTTATTTATCCTGTACTGAGCAGTGAAACGTTTAGAAAAAGCGTGAAATGAATGATAATCAAATTTGTAATTGACATTCATTCCGAAAAAATAATCAATCAACCACGAGTTATTATTACAAGTTATAGGATTACAAATTAGAATATTAATGGTTTTTCTTGCTGCGCGCGAAAGCGTTTGTGATAGCAATGAGGAATTTCGTGATGAAAAAGGAAAAAGATGAGACGGTTTAAACAGCGCCACACTGAAAATCTGTCACTTTTAGTGCTTATTATTTTTATGTCATGTTACAACCAAACTGTGAGCCGATTATTTGTAACATGGCAATAAAAGATGCAAAAAGAATCCTAACATGAATCTTTCATGACCTTAACGAGCACATCCATCGAACTGAATGCAGAAAGGATAAGGATTACCAATAAAAAATAAGAAAAATCATCATCATAACATGTAAATGTAACGGGAAAGGGAAAGGAACAGATAATGAAATAGCAAAGGGAATAGTTAAAATTGGTATACCCGTAATAAATAGAAATTATTAAATGCTGAAAAACGAAAAAACTGTATGCTTCTTTTACTGACTTCAGCTCAAAAACTTATGACAAAAAGTTAATAACTTTCTTAAAAGTTGAGAAAGTCACTGAGGAACGCATTTCAGACATTATGGAGCAGAGAGTCACTTAATATGCTCATACTAAGCATATGATACGAAAGTGTAGTGAGAAAAACAAAAGTTAATAATAACAAGAACTTCTGTATAGGCATTGCAAATGCTGGTAAACATCACTTAATATGTTATCTGGAAAAACTTTATAAAATGCATATTTATTTGTTGGCTTGACATATACAGAAACAATCAAAAATTAATTACGTGAAATCATGAAAGTCATTCTTGCGATTAACTAACAAAAAATGACATAATGAAACATAATGTATAGAAGCAGTGAGTTCAATAAATACCTGAGATATTTCTGATAGTTCTTTAATTTTAGCACCGCTGCATATTTGATATTAAAAAAATAAAAGGAAAAAAACCAGCGAGATCCTCAGTTGAGAAAGCAAAATTAACCGCATTTTCTCATTTCCATTAAATTTTGAAAATTTACTGCCTTGGAAAGTGAAGAAAAAAGTGAAGTTAAAGTGTAAAACTGCTGGATTTGATGACTAGAGGTGTAGAGATATATATGGAATTCGTTTATGGAAAAGCTATAAATTTTAAGGAAAGCATTTACAATGTGATGAAAAAGCTAATGTATCAGCAAACGCCGTGAATCACTTTTCACGTAAGCGTAATCACTTTTCTTTTGAGGTGGTGTGGTACCATATTCATTTGATGAAGACAAAAGTAAATGAGAGTATGACATTCCCTGCTTGCCATAGAAAACATGATGACTTGGTTGACTAACTATATCCCGTCCGGAAGCGGTACTAAATTCTGACCATAGTTAAGATTCAATCAGAAAAGCACTGCTTTCTTATAATTCCATCATTAAAAGTTTGAACTTCATAATTCAGCATACTATCTAAACCCTGGTTGTTTTCACTTTATCATATCCTCAACATTTCTATAAATTTTCTACATAAATAATAGAAAATATTATACTCAAAAATGCCAAAAATTCACGTTAACATAATTTGAATAAAATTTATTTGTTTTCAAAACTGAAAACCAAAACACTGTTTATTTATGTACTCCTTTCACAAAGTCAAAGATTTTCAAAGCAAATGTAATGAATATATATTTGACAAATAAATTGATAAAAAATTGACTTATTGATAAAAGTTCCACAATATCGTACATGTGGCATTTTTATCTTCACAGTACTGAGAACTCGTAATAAACAAAATTTTGCAGGAAGAAACAATCACCTGTTTACTACAGTCCTTTGCTGTGAAAACTTGTTTCCGGTTGGTAGTGGCAATGCCGGAGGAGACGGTGGATAAAATGTTGGTGGTGTTGGTTGTTGCAATTTCGCTGTATCATTGGCAGTGCAACAGGGTGTTCTTTCCATCAATGAATCCACGGTGGTCGTGCAAGATTTGTCAGGAGTTTTCATACATTTACAACAAATGCATGCACAGATACACAAGCATGCACACAAACTTACTGCAGCCATGCAGATGAGTAAGAGTGTGAGACCAGTTAATGAGCCTAACGGATCATCTGTCAAAACTGCAAGAACTAAGTCTTCATCATCGATTTGCGAAAAGCAAAGGTTTGAAAAATATGACTGACTTTTAAAAAAATCATGACAAAAATCTTGCTAAATTTTTTAAATGAAGTCTATAATTCAAATAATTTTTCAGACAATAACATTTTCTACGATATTATTTTCTGTGTTGCTATTTCTCTTCTTACAACTCCTGAATTTAAAAAAAACGAGGAACGAACAATCGCATTTGTGGGCAATTTGCAGTTCACGTATTAAATCTGATTCATCCTTACAATCTGGATAACGATTGCAAGCAAGTTCTGCAGCAATACATTCCTGGTTCTTGCAAGTGAATTCCCGTTGAGCACTGCATGGTGCTGAAATCATATGATACATACTAATTGTTTCCCTCAGATAAAACACCAGAAAGTGATTACTGTTGATAAACATTTTGGTAAACATCAGCAACTCATTGTTTACAGAATTATTATTATATGAAGCTACTGTTTTTAGCATTAGTCTGTAAACCCATCATTTCTTTGTCTCAGTAAAATATTTCAGCAAAACAATTCAGTCACATGACAAGTGAAATAACTCAAAGTATAAATATAAAAGATATTATTAGAAGAACACACCGACGTTTGATTTGCGAAATGCAGACCACAGCAAACGGAATCCTTCACCACTACGATGAAATGATGTCTGAGCATCTGTGTGCCACCAGAGAGTTAATGCGTTCTCGGTTGACACTGCTAACTCACTGGCATTTCTGATAGTACCACAAAATTGACCAAGAATGGGTCCCGGAGAGGTATCTTCCTGAGACGAGTCACGTAGCGTTTGCGGATTAATCGGTTTTTCATGCTGAAATAAAATAAAATTTTGGAGGTCATAAATGACGAACACTTTCGCTAGCTGAATCCAAATATGAATTTATAAAAATTTGTACCATTTTTAGTCCCGAGAAAAGATGTTTCAATAAATTCATTACTTTTTCAAACTAGATCCAAAAAAATTCTAAACGTTCAAAAATTCCCAGAAAAAATAAAATCTTGTGCATTCATAAAATACAAAAAAATTTTTGCAATCATATCAACAATAGGCGTATGGACAAACATCAAAAACATGAAGTGTATCTTTATCACAGTTATGTGCATCACCCAGAACATTAAAATCCAGAACGCGCAAACGTATCCGATAACCAGCCGGCGCTGTTATCAAAAGGAAACAATTTTTAGAAGAATTATACGGTATGCTTCCATACATCTGATGTGATATCAATAAACCAGACAAAGCTGTTACATGACGTTCCAACTTAGACCGGCAGTTATCCAGATAATTTGACCCATCAAAATAACCTGAAACTTTAATAAAAGAATGATGTTGCACTTAGAATTGTGGTTAAGAAGAATCTTTCACTGCAATTGAATTCAATTTCCAATGAGAAGAAAATTGCTCACTTTCATTTCAGAAATAACGAGCTCCAAATAACTTAAAACTCACTGATTTGTGGCTCGTATGATAATACAGCTTGACCGGGAAGAATGAGAAGATACAATAAAATAAGCAGAAGCACTGCTGTCCAACTGATCATCTCGAAGTTGAAAGTAATATTACTGATGCTGATGAATATAGCAGCGATAACAGTACTATAACTCTAATGATATGGACAGTATTATAATGAAAATAAACTCATTTTCAGTCCTTTGTGAGAGAGCTGTAAGAAAGTGTGGTTAACTAACATCCACTATAGAATTAGCATTAAATGACAAAGAAACTATACTTCTCGCGAATTTAATAGAAAAATATAGTAAAGCAATCACAATATGTGGTTGAAACGGTCTTGCTTTGAACAAAGCATTTCAAAAATAGTGAAAGATGAATAGATGTTAAAAAATGATATTTTCAATTGGTATGAAAATTGAAAGCAAAGAGTATGGTCTGAAAGCATTCTCACGCATGCGAAACCATTTTGTTCTGAAGGTCGTCGCAAATGAGAATGTTGAGATCAGAGTCGATACGCGAATGAGAACTGCAATCAGAATAAAAGCAGATCGACCGGATATTATGATCCACGATAAGAAGCGACGTGAAGTAATCCTGATTGAGGTAGGCATCACTAATCAGACAGGTTGGCAGCAGGCGAGGTCGAGAAAAAGCGAAAATACGACCTACTTGCTAATGAGCTTGGGTCAGAGATGAAATGCAGGACCGAGATGATTCTATATGTTATGACTTGGGATGAGATTGTTACGAACTTCTACAAACGCTACGCGAGGAGATCATTATACGTGATCAAGTCGAGGCATACATTCAATCAAAAGTTCTGAAGAAGTCGCTCGAAAGCATCTCCTTCGATATTCGTTATGGATTTCACGAGGATGAAACCAAAGAGATCACAAATCAGAGTACAGGACAAATACATCCAGAATGACGGAATATGATTCAGCACCAAGAAAAGAAAAATAACCTCTATATTTTCTTTTCTACATATAAACCTGGATTCATAAATGGAAACAAATGGAAACAAATGGAAACATGTCATGTTGTTGAAAAAAAAGTCCGTGAAGGAAATGAGTAAGCACTCGACCAGTGTACCAGATCAAACAGAACTGAGTACCGGGCGAGTACACGGAGAGTGCTGAGACACGCTACAACGCGAGGACCAAGAAAATAGGTAAGATATACATATATAATATATATATGAAAATGTGAATACTGAAAAAATGAATACTACTATCACAAACGATTCAAAAGCAGTCGAACTAACCTTTAAACGGCGCCATTTTTTTTTACTTAATTGAATCCCAAGAATTGTGACTAGAATGAAACTGTTTTAGTATTTGTGCAATTTTGAAACACTGTTAAGCTGTCATCGCAAAAAATTCACTTTGAAAATTTCAAGACCGGAATTCACGAAAAAATTTATCAATAATATGTGAATAAAATTTGCCCAGGCAAAAATGAAATATAATTACATGATTATATAACTGAACTAGAAACAGACGAAGAAAATACATGAATGTACATGAAATTTTATCACAACTTAAAGATTTGACACTGATACTTTGTTCGAGTTGAAGAGCTGTAATATTCGCAGAGTTTTATAAAGTGAGGATTTCTAAGTTTCCATAATCTTAACTTTTATCAGGTAATATTGGTGAAGTTCTATGATTTTCTAAACACATTATTTCGCTGATCGAAAAAATCATGAGAGCATACAGCTCCAAAGGAAATATAGGCTCATTCAACACAATTAAATGACCGATAAAAATTCAGAACTATAAACAAAATCGATCCGTAATTATGAACTGAAAATTTTTTTAAATATCTCGACATGAAGAGTTTCAAACCCATTGTATCAAAATCATGGAAAAAGTAAACAGAGAATTGGCGGATTTTGACTTTGTTTGCAGTGCTTTTAAACAGTGGTTTTCTTCTGAAAACTCATATTATGTCAGAAAGTCTCAATGTTGCGTTATAATTATTGCCAATAAAAACCAGTAAGAACAAAGCATAAATCAGTAAAATTAATTCGTGATTAGGGATTCCTTACACACTTGTTATTTGAAGACTTCATTTTTCCCAAAAGTGAAGTCTTCAAATAACAAGCTGATTGGAATGGATAAACGAATACAGTACATCTAAATTTTCCATAAGCACATTCATTTTAGGATGGATCGTGCTTGTCAAAATAATCAACCCAGGGAAAAGTGTATAGTGCTTAATTTTCCCATCCCAAGTAACGTGACCAGAGGAAGAGACCTAAAGGTGACCACATCATAACAAATATGAAAAACAGGAAATATCCAAAAAATTATGATCGTTAAGAAACTTTTTTTGCCGAGAAGACTTACTCTCCAAAAACAACAGGTATTGTTGGTGAATGATTGCTTCCACATGCTCAATTATTGAAAATAAAGTTATTTTGCTTGCTCAAACATAGAGGAGTTCACAATAAAAATTACTAATAAAATTATACGAACAATGATATTAACCATAAATTGAATACAGTTAAATGATTTTAAATAACACAAATTACGTTTAAAATATGAAACTTAAATAACAGCAAATGATAAGGAAAATAATAACTGAACGAAAACTAGCAACAGGAAAAGAACTCACTGGGAGAACTTTTCAATTTCGCCATTAAAGTTAGGCTTTTTGGAAAAGATGATAAGATTATTTCTATTCATCTATTTTTAGTAATAAAAAATGAGATTTTTTTGTTCTATTTAGGCTGATATATTTATTTCAATTTGAGAATAGTGTTCGGTCTTAAATTTTCATAGAATTTTGCTCGTGCTGTCAAGGTCAACATTGAACGTTTTGATGCATGCAAGTGGTTTTCAGCAGTGACACGAAACGCTGAAAAGACATATTAGGTTTCATCAATGTCAATTCTACAGATCTACTGCATTATTATAAATGATAATAATAATGAACGATGATAATGGTACGAAAGGACAGATGTCCTCAAAGAATAGTCAGTGTAAGCTATGAATTATAACTGCACCATGACCTCTGGACACAAAGAAAGATGTCAAATTTTATAAAGTAGTCATTGACCATGTCTAACTAGTGCACCTGAATAAAAAACAGGAGAAATTTGAAAAATTTATGATTTTTTTTAATTTTCAGTTTTTGTTCAATGATGCATAACCACTCAGTCTCTCTGATTCTTTATTTCTGTTTATTGTTTTCTCTGTGGACAGACACTGTCCCTGAATTCTAAACACATATTAACTAGGAAGGAAACAGACAAACAGCAAAAAGGAGTCATCAAGTTACGCATTATAATAGTAATGACTCCAACCGCCCATTTTATTCTTGAAACTTCAGATTCTTGCTCACAAATAACTAAGCACACATTTTAATCTTTCCAGAAAATCATTCAACCAAGCAATGTTTTCTGAGAATTTAATGATAATTCAAAACAGATTTATTAATAATAATATCACTACCACTATTAACAACTATCATTTGGAAGTCTTGTTTGCTTCCAATTTCTATGATTAATTATTAAAATATTCATTTTCTTTTTCATCACATTCCATTTAAAGAGAGAAAAGTAAAGTCACAAGCATTTACTTATTCGCCGAAACTATTCTGGCATGAGAAACTATCACAAAATAAAATTATTAAGCTCCTTCACTCTTTACTTCTCGAATTTTAAGAGTCGATTAAAAAACGTTTGTCGAACTTCTGGAGTTAGGAAAACCCTCTACTCCTTTTTTGACTGAAATCTGCAGAAATTCCAGACAAATTTTTTCAAAGGCTACTGAATTTTGAATGATGAGAAAAATCAGATAATCATGATTTTAGCTATGTATTAAGGCATATGAGATAACAGGCAATCATGAATATATCCGAAGGTGAAGGGATTAGAGAAGAAATTATAAATATGACAAGATTTCAACTTAAACCAGATCCAAACAGAAAAAGAAAGTTGGGATATTTGCAAGCTCACCTTATCGTTAAAAAAGCTTTCTAATCCCTTCACATATACAGAAAGCTTTTCGAATGGTAAAAGAGATAACTGGCCTTTTATCTCATATACCGATAGTGCTAAAATGATAAATACATAGGGACGATCACACCGAAAAGCTTGCTACGCACATTTCATACTTATCTAGTCACATCTATCATAAATGAATATGCAAATTAAGTGGACCAAAAGAGCAAGCAAAGAATAAAAGTGAACTAATGAAAAATAAGGCAGTGATTAAGCGAAATGAATGGACTGAATAGCAGTCAAATAGATACAACTACAAGCTGAGCTTTGGGTCTTGACCTCATTAAATATAATCAGATTAGATTTCACATATGTATTTAACAGGCCCTAATTTCAAAAGTAATTGTTTTATGAACACATGACTACTATTCGATAAGTAGTGCTTCAAAAAGCAACTGGCAATTAATGACTTGAATAACTAAATTAAATAGTTAATGGTAATCAAAAATTTAAATCTTTAGCTTCACTGAAGCGAATTAAAAGAGCTAAGGCAGGAATATTTTAATCGATGAAAAATTATAAGACTATAGAAGGGGACAGCAATAGCTGGTGAGATACTCTGTTGAAGGGAGCAAATTTTGAAAGTGATGAATGAGTTTCGATATATTCCCCTATAAAGTTCCTATTTTCCAGCAAAGAAATAAATTTTAGCGTGGAAAATGTTCTCGCTGTAAGAAAGAGGTGAAAGCATATAGTTTACAAAGGAATGAATAAGTTATGGAAGCAGCTGTTTCAAATAGCTCCTCATTTCAGTCTAAAAAAATCGAGGAGTGGTAGTAGCTAACAAATGTAACTTTTTCCTCAGATGCTAGAGAATCCCAGGGAAGCCATCGATGAACCACCGACATTTGTCAAATTTTGCACCAACTGCAACTGACAGATTTCCTATGCTTTGAGCCACGAAAATATGAAAAAAGTAGAGGAGAAGAAAAGCGATGATAAACGGTTCTTTTTATGAGTGATGATACAGTTGCGTTCTGTGGGATGACATGAGCTAGAAATCTAGAAATGGGAAATAAACTGTGGTCAAGAACATGCGAGAACGAAAATCTGCATTACTCGGAAGAGTGAGTAAACTA